ATGCCCCTACTTATTCTTATGTGGAAGTGCAGTGTACATTTTGACGTCAAATTTCGATAGTTTTTTGACTAAAATGCCATTTTTTGTTGTATTTTAGTAAACTAAAGTTGTGTTAATTTAGTCATCGGTTATTTTCCTCGAAATTAACACTGATGAAAGGCTCTTGCAGACTGTCAGTGTAGCTTTTACGGCAGACAGTTACTGAATTACAGGAAGAATCACTGAACTACTAGAGCACTCACCAGTTGAGAAGTACAAGCCTGCAGCCACAATGGCTGACAGTAGTTGACGTTCTTCCATTCACAGAACTCTGTAAATGAATGACGTGGCTGGGTGGGCAGAGCCTGCACTGCTGCTTTTTTTAAAAAAAACTTGACAGCTAGTGGTGCACCGAAATGAAAATTCTGCTGCTGAAACTGAAAATTCAGGTACCGAAATGGACAGTTTTTAAAAATTAATATATTTTTCAAACACAATTTATTTGGAAAAAATATGCTTAATGATTAAAAAAACCCAATATATACCCCAATTTTTTTGTAAAATATGAAAGATATTATGCCGCGTAAATAAATACCCAACACTTCATGCTTTAAAGTTGCGCACGCTTGTGGAATGTTATCAAACTACAGTACTAAAAAAAAAAAAAAAATCTCCATGAGTGACGATTTAAAAATTTCTACAGGTTACTAGTTTAAAGTTACAGAGGAGGTCTAGTGCTAGAATTATTGCTTTTGCTTTGATTTTCGTGGCGATACCTCACATGTGTGGTTTCAACACAGTTTACAGGTGGGTGTGGCCTACGTATTCATTCACCACTGCGCGTGAGGAAGGGGCACTTTCAACTTTTTTTTCTTTTTTTTAACTTTATTTAAATTTTTTTTTTTTTTTTTTTACACGGTCTCTTTAAAAAAAAAAATTTTAATCACTTTTATTCCTATCACAAGGAATACATGTATCCCTTGTGATAGAAATAATTAGTGACGGGTCCTCTTTATGGAAATGTAAAGATCAAAAAAAGCATTGATCTAGTGCTTTAAAAAAAAAAAAATGGCCTCATTTACAAGGCACCGGAACCAGAAGAGACGTCGCTCCGGTCCTTCAAGGGCATAGAGATGAGTGAAGGCCATCTTTCCTTCACTTATCCCTATGCCCAGTGTTGGGATAGTTCGATGCTTTCTCAGGTACGGCTGAGAACCACCAAGCGGGTGGCAGCAATGAGGGGCAGGGTTATTTTCGGCACCTGTATCGGTGCTTATTTTCGTATTGGGGCAGCACAGTGGCTAAATGGTTAGCACTTCCACCTGGCATTTCTAGGGTCGTTGGTTCGAATCCCAACCACGGCACCTCCTGCCTGGAGTTTGCATGTTCTCCCTGTGCCTGCGTGGGTTTCCTGCGGGTACTCTGGTTTCCTCCCACACTCCAAAGACATGCTGGTAGGTTAATTGGCTCCTGTCTAAATTGGCCCTAGTATGTGTATGTATGAATGTGAGTTAGGGACCTTAGATTGTACACCCCCTTGAGGGTTAGGGACTGATGTGAATGTACAATATACATGTAAAGTGCTGTGTAAATTGATGGTGCTATATAAGTACCTGAAATAAATATCGGCCAAAGGCTGATAGTGGTGTTTTCAGCCAAAACGTTTCGGCCACCGAAATTTTGGTGCATCCCTAGTGACAGCGGGTGCAGGCAGAAAATACCTGGCCAGCTGTCACGAGGGCTCAGGAGGGTTCGGGGGCTGCTCATTTAGTAACATGTTAACGTGCTACTCCCTTGATATGGGTGTAACATGTGAAAGGTGAACTTCACAGAAAGGTGTTTCTATATATTTTTTTTGGATAGCATGAAGGTTAGAACCTTTGTTTAGGGTATATTCTATCTAATTCTGGGGACAACATTTAACTGACCAGGAAGTGAGGAGAGAAAACCAACAGGGAAACTAACAACAATAAAGTATCCAGGCAGATCCTGTACTGCACGTTTTTATTTGGTAGATCTAAAGGAGAGTGTGGAATTATATTGTGAGGTGTAGGGCAAGGAGATTGTAGAATTTGATTGTAAGTTGAATGGCCAGCTGTACTGAGCTTCTTGTTCTAAGCTATAAAGAGGTACAAGGCTCTTGCTCAGTGGTTTACGCTGCTTTTTGCAGGTGGTCATCTTTGTGAAGTCGGTTCACAGCGATGCATCGCTCTGGCTCAGCTGTTGGTGGAACAGAACTTCCCAGCTATCGCTATTCATCGCGGGATGCAACAGGAGGAGAGGTGGGGCTTGTGATACACTGCTTCATCTGTCTTAGCAGAGAATGAGTTGTGGTGTGAAGTCATGGAGGCTGAGGGGGTTATCTCCTGGATTATGGTGTGCACACCCTTCATAGATGAATCATTTCTGATCTTGTGTTCATTGGCAGGCTTTCTCGTTACCAACAATTCAAGGATTTCCAGCGCAGGATCTTGGTCGCCACCAATCTTTTTGGCCGTGGCATGGACATTGAGAGAGTGAACATTGCCTTTAATTATGACATGCCAGAAGACTCTGATACCTACCTGCACAGGGTATGAACTTTATGCTTCATTTTCCTGTTTGTTCAGCGATACACAGAACAGGCCAGACTCAGACCGGAAGTGTTCTGGATGTGGTTTATTATTATTATACAGGACTTGTATAGCGTTGACAGTTTTTGCTCAGCACTTTACATTAGGAGGGAAACAGTACAGTAACAATACAGTTCAATACAAGAGGGATTAGAGGGCCCTGCTCCTTGGAGCTTACAATCTAGGAGGGAGGGGATAGTGGTACAAGAGGTAATTAGCTGTGGCGGATGGAGTGGTAGGAAGAGTAGAGGATTCCAATATCAGCTAGGGTCGGGGTAGGCTTCCCTGAAGAGATGGGTTTTCAGAGTGCGCCTAAAAGTGAGCAGAGTAGGCGATAGCCTGATAGATTGGGCTAGGGAGTTCCAGAGGATGGGGGAAGCCCTTGAGAAATCCTGCAGACGAGCATGGGAGGAGGAGACAAGGGAGCTAGAGAGTAGGTCTTGCAAGGAGTGGAAAGTACGGTTTGGGTGGTATTTAGAGACCAGGTTGGTGATGTAATTAGGGGCAGTGTTATGAACGGCTTTATATACATCAGTGTTAGTGTTTTGAATTTTATCTGCTGGGCAATTGGAAGCCAGTGGAGGGATTGGCAGAGAGGGGTGGCAGATACAGAGCGGTTAGTAAGGTGGATGAGTCTGGCAGCATTCATGATGGACTGGAGGGGGGATAGCCTGTGATGAGGTAGGCCAGTGAGGAGGGAGTTACAGTAGTCAAGGCGAGATATGATAAGGGAGTGAATGAGTTGCTTAGTGGTTTCCGAGGTTAGGAACGATCGTATCTTGGAGATGTTACGAAGGTGAAGTCTACAGGAGTTTGGCAGCGATTGGACCTGGGGCTGAAAGGACAGATTGGAGTCTAGGATGACACCTAGTACCTTGGCGTGAGGGGAGGGACTGATGATAGTGTTGTTGATCTTGATGGAGATGATGATGATGGTTTAGGATATTTGCTAAGTTGGAGATCCTTCCTGATACTGGGACTCATTTGTAATCGTGTTAGAGTAGCTGTAATTTTGCTTATTCAGGGCAAAGTGATGTTCTTTTGTAAGAAGAGCCCCCCCCCCACCCTGTGCTTCCCACCATTCCTTTGGTGCCCTCTGTAAATGTTCACTTCTTTCAGGTATAGAAATGCATGTGATCTCCTTTGAGGATGCAATGCTCATACCTAAGGGACCAATCGCCTGCCCCAAACACTGTCACATGAGGAAACCTTCAAAGGGCTAGGACTCCAATGGAGTGATGAGGAAGTAACAGCATGGGTGGGGGGGCAGGACTCTTCTCACAAGAGAACCTGTCAGTTTGTTTCTGGGGGCATTGTGAGAGTCATAAATTGATTTGTCATAATACTCTGTAGGTAAATTTGCTGACCAGTCCCTTTTTAAATGACTGTTATTTTCCATCACTAGGTCGCACGTGCTGGTAGGTTTGGGACGAAGGGTCTGGCCATCACATTTGTATCAGATGAGCAGGATGCAAAAATCCTAAACGAGGTTCAAGATCGGTTTGAGGTCAACATTAGCGAACTGCCTGATGAAATTGACATCTCATCGTACAGTGAGTGTTATTAAATAATCATTTGTGCTCTGTAGCATCATCTCCATGGTGCCCACAGGCAGTTCAGTGTGATCTTCCTGTTTCAGTTGCATCTATGGAAAGTACAAGAATTTTTTTTTTTTTTTTTTAAGATTGATAAAATGTTTTTTTATTTCTAAAACTAGAGGGTGCAAAATCTGGTGCAGCTCTGCATAGAAACCAATTGGCTTCCAGGTTTTATTGCCAAAGCCGAATTGAACAAGCTGAAGTTACAATCTATTTGGCTACCATGCAGCTGCACCAGTTTTACTAAATCTCCCCCATTATATCTTGAAAATTTGCTTCAAATGAAGAAAACACTCCAATTCTTGGGTCTACTCAGTGGAGTGTGTTTAGGGCATTTCTTATAATTTTTTTTTAGCTATTCTATTCATATGTATAGTAAAACCAATCTACGGATCGTTTAAGGTTTTATATTGGTAGTGATGATGATTTCAACAGCCTGGTGTGGGTGTATGGCAGAGTTTCTCAACTCCAGTCCTCATGGACCCAACAGGTCATGTTTTCAGGATTTCCCTCAGATAAAACAGCTGTGGTAATTACTAAGGCAGTGAAACTGATCCAATCACCTGTGCAAAATAATGGAAATCCTGAAAACATGACCTGTTGGGGGTCCATGTGGACTGGAATTGAGAAACACTGGTGTATGGTGACATATTGGGAAATTAAATAGGGATCTGTAATGATGAAAAGGTTAAGGGACCCCTGACCTAGTTAGTCAATTCTCAACTGTACCCTACCCTTTGTATAATTTTAGTCTACTCCGTTTGTAATCCATGCCTTATTTTTTCTTGTTTCAGTTGAACAGACACGGTGAAGCCAGACTTCTCCATCGACCAGCTAGTGTGGCTGCCGAACGCTGTACACACTTGTGGTTCCTCTCAGCAATGGTTTGCAGGAGGCCGCCAACAGCTAAACTGTTTTAAAAAGGAGCTTGGTAATTTAACCCACCCAGCCCATGTCAGTGTTTTAACAGGCAGAATACTGCTGAGCTTGTTGCACCCCTTTACCCTCTGCTCAGCTTCATGGACCTGCAGAACCTCTCTATCTTGTCATTTTACCATGGAACTGATTTTCAGTTGCGCAGGGAACAAATGAAGAATGCAAAAAAAAAAAAAGTTACATTCAATTTGAAAATAATGTTCTGTTTGTCTTTTATATAGTGTATTAGGGGCTTCACAGGAATGCAAAGAACATTTTTTTCCTGTAATAGTTCAAAGAGTGGGTTATGTGGGAATTTAGAGTTTAATGCCTGTGGTTTGTGGTGAGACCCTGTAAGATATTCAGCCCTGGTTGATTTGGTTCTTTTTTTTTTTTTTTTTTTTTTTCTTTTTTGAAGGTCAGCTTTTTGTTTAGTTTACCACCCTCTGCATAAGTGACAAGTTGTGTCACCGTTTATATGTATCATGAGACTTCCAACACCATGTCACAATATAAACCAAATGAAAAAGTTTGAAGTGTGATCTTTCCTCTGCACTGCCTTGCACTTGTATCACCTTAAAGTGGAACTTCACTTTCTCAATCAACATTGACTATTTTTAATTCTTATGCTGCTAACATTAGTAAATAGATAGGAAAGTATGTCATAGTTAACTTGTTTTAAACTTTTATTTTTTTTAAATTTCTTCCGTTACTTCTTGATTTCTAGCCTAGGCAAATGATGTCATACATCCCAGGTGCCTTTAGGAGGGGAGGAGAGGTTTTCTCAGCTAGGCACACCCTCCTGCCTGCACGCCTGATCCAAGGGCAGATGGAGTCCAGGAAGTAAATGCTAGATGAATCATCTGCCTTACTCAAGATGGCCACAGCCAGAAATTCCAGGGGGGTGTTTTTCAAAGTAATTTCTCAACAAAAGAAAGCATGGATAAATGGTGGAGCTTGCTTTGAGTATTAAAAGTGAATTATTATTATTATACAGGATTTATGTAGCACCAACAGTTTGCGCAGCGCTTTACAAATTTAAATGAATTGTGTTTTTGGTTTCTGGTGCTCAGACTCAGTGCAACATTTTTGCCAATCAGGACAAAGTGGCTGCGTCTGGTAGCACATCCCCCCCAGCAAGGTATAATCACTAAACCATGCTCCCTTACCATCATTGGAGCTTTTATTCTGTTGAAATTGAGGGGGCTTCTTGTATGGAGATGGCCAAGTGATCTCTCATCTGACAGTGCTTGGACCTGATTGGCCAAAACCAAGGCTGGACCATTGTCATGGTGCAGGGAAGTGACGTTATCTTCCCATGTAAGCACTGTGATTATACGGTTAGCCTGACCCTGCCAGAGATTTCACAGCTCGTGTGACAACAGTCTAGGCACCAGCATGCTGAGGGGGCTCATTGCTGAGGCAGGTTAACTGAGCAGTTACCCTTTACACCCACACACTGTAGCCACCACCACGTATTAACAAAAACAAGCACTGTTCATATCTGCTGGTGCAACTCTGACCTTTAAAAAGTGTCTAAGAAAAACTGCAGGAAATATTTGCAGTAATTATATTACAGAACAGATATACGCAATGGTAAAATTAAAGGGTTTGAAAGTAAAAAAATGATGCTTTCTTCTGGTCTTTAGTTCAATTTAGAGTATTTTCACTGGCCCTCAGAAACGTGGCTTTTGGTGTCAGAGCAGAGCTGCTAAGGGTTGGAGGGTTGCTGGAGTTTTTTTTCTTTATTGTACATCAGAGGACCTAGAACATCCTTATAATCATTACGATAGAGTTATGCTGCCACCTTCATGTGGTTGGATCCGTGGTACAATCACTCCCTGTTAAAAAGAGAAGTATGAGAAATATTAACAAAAAACAAAACACCTACTCATCTAGGTGGCTGCAGCACTGATTCCAGCTGCAGCTGTCCCCCACTGGCTCTACCCCGAGAACTGAGCGATCAAACACCGCTGATTCTCATGCTCAGTTCTCCACTCCACTCTGAGCAGAGTGTGGTGATTTGTCAGTTTCCAGCTCTGGCTTTAGCCCACTGTCGGCTGAAAACGGGTCAAAGGAGTGCAGAATGAACTGCAGTCCTGTGATCCATAGAAGTGTAGCAAAAATAGTTTTGGCTATTCTTCTCCTTTAAGCAAGGCTTCAGTTTTTTTTTTTTTGCTAATGTCTGAAGGTGATGGTCATAAAGGGCATGTTCCACCATTTGGTGATTGTTCTTTTTGCCAGGGGTGTGGGTGCTTCCTGGGTTATTTGACATCAGGCTTCGGTAGCTCATAGTTTGTACAGTTGCTACCTGGTCTTTGGTTCATAAGTTTGCACCATATGAATGTTAGAACTGCTGAGGACGCTACCTTTGGGCGACCTGTTTGCAGGCTGCTGTGTGTGGTTCGGGCCTGGTTTTGGGTTTAGTTGTTTGGAGCCAGTGGGGCTTGTTGCCATGTTGCCCTCCCCTCATATTCAGTGCTTTGGGACACCCCATCATAATGATTACATGGATGCTCTGTGTCCAGTTATGTACAATAAAGAAAATGGGATTTCTTCTTCATTCATTGACAGATCCAGCGGTTTCCTTAACCTTAATGAAGCAGGGTTTTATAGCCTCACCTACAGGAGTAGGACACTAGGCAGAAAAAAAGACGTGGCACCTCCTATGGGCAGTCCTCTCTGGATATAAAACCCCCTCCCTGCTATAGGTCTCCAGTCTTTCGCTTGGACTTGTGGTCCCACAACTTTTCTTTTTTTGTTCCGGGACTTTTGTGTTTCTGCAGAGATCTTCTATCAAAGAGGCGGGCTGGAAAATCTAGATCCAGTGGTCACCCCAGTCTGACCAGCGAGCGCATGCAGACCATCAGCGCTGTGCTTGGTCGGCCACTACTATGCCCTACGGACTGGGGGTGGCCAACGAGTCAAACGCCTCACTGGGATGCATATGATCAGGCACTTGTAGTCCGTCACAGTGTACCCCTGGCCAACAGCGCCCCCACTTTGGTGTAGAGGAGGATCTGTCATGGGAGCTTCACCCGCACGTTCCGCTGGATTGGTAAGTAGTGCCCCCCTTCCTGTCCAGGATGCGAGGTGCGGGTGTTCCCTGAGGTGGTTGGCACCCAACATATCTCCCCCCTTCTTGCACCAGCGCCCTAGTAAAGGCGTGGGCTTAGCCCATTTACCTCATTCCTGGCTGGAACTTGGTAGTGCGGGTTTCCTCTCCTTCGCTCTGGGGCTGGAGGGGACCTTGTCCTGCTGTGACGGGAGGTTCCCATTTTGTTTTGCAGGCCTGCCTTGATCACGGGGTGCGCTGCATGTGGCTGGGGATGGCTGGCAGCCATGTTATTGTTGTCATAGTGGCCATTTTCTTGGAGCTTTTCGGCCTGCCTCTAGTGCCGGACATGGCAGCCATTTTTCTGGAGATATTTTTTTTGTCTGGCAGCCATTTTTGGGGGGTCTAAGGGGCTATCAAGAGATGGAGGCTGGCTGGTAAAGGTCATTGGTGACCATTGTCCCCATAGCCCATGGTGGGGATTACCTCGGGCTTGTGGAGGCAGGGCTCTTCCCACAAGCTGTGTGGGACACATGGGTACCTTGGCAGCTCCTGGTGGTGGTGAGTCTTCCCTGTGGATCTCTCTCCGTTCTCCCTACTGGGGTGGTCTTCTGTACTGGGAGCATCCGGGTCCCCTTGCGGCGGTGTCTAGCTGGGGGGACTGGTCCCATGGAAGCTCAGAAGTATGCTGCACCTCTGTGGCCCCCTCTGGAGTTGTCCCTAGACGCATTATCGGCTGCACAGCCCCAGGTTACTGCCCCCAAAAGTGGTGTGCATGGGGCAATTAGGTGGCTATTTAAGAAAAATAAAGTTGACCCTCTGAACTCCAACCAAGAGGGTCCAACACAGGAGAGAGCAGAACCATCAGCAGAGGACCGCCAACCAGTTGCACAGCCTGAAACTGCTGCCCCTAAAAGGGGTGTGTGTAGGGCAATTAGGTGGGGGGTTAGGTCAGTTACACACAGAATTTGGCCCTTGTATCAATCAAAAACCACGAAAGACGCTGATGGTAAGTATTATAATAAAGAAATATAATGCAAGCACTGTAAGGCAATGTAATGTTTGTCACCCACATATATACTATATGCACTGGGGTCACTGCATAGACTAGGGAAGTGTTAGGACCCCCGTCGGGTCCCCATTAGGGAGACTTACCCTCTCCATGTGTCCTGATCACCAATGTCACTAGGATGGAAAGTGATTGAAGATCAACCCGGACAGGAATAGAGGGGAAATTGTCTGATGGGGACATGGCTTCCGGTGACAACTGTCTAGGAGGGGACTGAGCTCACCTTGGAGAGATTTCTTCCCAAGTCTTGCTGTGTTTACAGAACTGATGATGAAGTGTCAGAACTTAAGCTCTAAGAAAATAATCAGTATATAATTTATGAAAACAGGAGGGGATCTGGAATTAAGGAGATTCTCTACTAATTTTCATAACTCAACCTGTGTGTGTGTAAAATATTCTCAGCCAAATGCAGCAAAGTTGATTGGGCGGTGCTTCACAGTACAGATGGACAATGATCCAAAACACACTGCAAAAGCAACACAGGAGCTTTAGAAGGAAAAGAAGTGGAATATTCTGCAATGGCCGACTCAATCACCTGATCTCAACCCAATTGAGCATGCATTTCACTTGCTGAAGGCAGAAAGTCCCACAAATAACAACTAAAGGCAGCTGCAGTTAGAGCCTGGCAAAGCATGAGAAAGGAAGAAACCCAATCTTTCGTAATGTCCATGGGTTCCGGACTTCAGGCAGTCATTGTCGGTAAATTATTCTTAACAGGATATTAAAAAAGAACATTTTACTTATGATTATATTCATTTGTCCAATTACATTT